CATTCTTCGCTCGTGGTGTTGACTTCGATAATATCCAAAACGCCCAATGGACTTTGATTGGCCAAAAATGCTGTGACAAGCCACTTTCATTGGTCAAAAGCATGCAATAATGAACGAAAATGATAGCCTTGCCAAAGCCTGAGACGACCGCTGATTGGTGCAAAAGACAGTGATACGCACGTGGATTGGCTGAAAAGGTTTGGAATTGCCACCGTGCTGGCGTCAGATGCTACGATGGACAACCGACGCGGTGTCGACCGCACACCACCCTGCCGCCCACCGACCGCCATCGGGCCACCGGCGAGAACCAACTGGCGTCGACGTCCGACAATCTGGCGACCCTCAAATGACCTGCTGCCCTTTCTGGGACCTCCAAACCAGCACGCGAGACTGTCGTGTATGTGCCTTAGACAAAGGACCAGAGCGCGAGGGCGAGAAAGCTCGTGCCGATGAGGATCATGGCGCGGGCGAGGTGCGCGTACCACGGCATCGCGGGCAGGAACCCTTTGTCGAGCGCCTTCTTGAGGAAGGCTCCGGGCACAAGGAACGAGACGACGAGGCCGGCCGAGGGGCCGACCCACGCCATGACTTGGCTCAAGTCATTGGCGGTCACTGCCACCGCACCCGCGCCCAGCAGAAACCCCTAGCGATGTCAAAAGACTCTGTTGGTGGAGCATGAAAAGTGGATACCAAAATCAGCAGCACGCGGTACGGCAGCCGGAGGTGCTCGATCTTGGGCCGCATGTACCAGAGCTCGACGACCTCGCGAAAGGGCTGGAACACGAGCGGTGTCTTGCACCACATGCACATGGCGAGCGCGGCCTTGACGCTCGAGATGCTTCTATCGGTGAGCGGGAAGCCCGTGAGGATGTTGGCGGGCTGCAGGCCGCCGAGGCACACATAGCCCGCGATCGCCGCGGTCGTGTACAAGACTAGCCCGGACGCTAGCGCAGACGAGGCGATGGGTGCGATCGACTGCTTGCGGCGCAGCTCGCCATACACACGCACAAAGTTGAAGTGGCAGCAAAAGCTCAGCGTCTGGATCGGCAGCACCGAGGCGAGGCCGACCAAGGTGACGTCTTCCACGGGCGCTGGCCACGGCTTGTCGATCGCATGGCCCACGAGGACGAGGACGACGTAGAGGACGCACGCCACCACCTAGTATCGGCATGAGTGGATTGCGATCACGATCCACATCGGTACCATGGCACTTGAGTAGCGCAGTGCGTGGAGCGTGTCGGGGAGGCAGAGCGGGAAGAGGCACACGAGAAAGACCAAGGTGATGCTCGCGCGCGAGAGCGGCAGCACGGGCGCGACCATGTCGGCGGCGATGACCATGTACATGACCGCGCCGCCAAAGAGTGGGCATAACGTCACGAGCCGCAGGCACCACAGCTCGACGCGCGTGCAGAGGAGGCGGCCCATGGCCTCGTACGAGTACGCGTCGGTGGCGTCGGCGACCAAGGCCAAGCACAGGAACGAGAGGCCCGTGAGCGCTGCGTGCGCGACAAGCAGCACGACGCTCGGGACGACGGTCGCCGTGGCGACGGTGCTGGGCAGCGCGAGGATCCCTGCGCCCAGCATCGAGCACATGAGCGAGACGTAGGAGGAGCCGACCGTGCCATGCGGGCGCGCTAAGAACGACGACGTGTCCTTGAAGAGCAGCGGTGTGTACTCCATCGTCGATTGCCAATGCGAGCCAATCTGCTGATTGTATCCGGATACGTCGCACTTCCCACCACCGTCTCGCATCGACGGGATATCTCCGCAGTGTCCCAATAAGAACCGACATCGACATCATTGCGCAGGACGAGACTTTAGAGCAAGGGAATACATTGTCATGGAGTCTGTGCGAGATGCGCTGTATGTACTACTTGGTCTGCCATATCTCTCTACTTGGTGACCGAGATGATCGTGAGCACTACACCGGTGGCCATCATGCCGACGGCGACCGCGCGGCCGCGCGTCTTGTCGGTCGGCGTCCACTCGTTGTACGTGTCGTTGGACACTTGCCACACAAAGTAGCCGGGCACGGTGAAGGCGAGGAGGATGCCGGTCGTGCCGCCAATCCAGCCCATGACGACGCCAACGTCTTCGGCCGTCACAGCGAGCACGAAGGCTGCGAGCAGAAAGATCTACGAATGATGACGCGCGTCATGACACAGGACGACGTCCACGACGAGGACGTACCGACGTGGCGAGGACGCGGAACGGGAGGCGGTGGCGCGCCTCGGCGTGCGTCGCGGGCCCGAGGAAAAACGGTCTCAATGACCTCGCGGATCGGCTGGAAGGTCACGGGAGTCTTGCACATCATGCAGAGGCCAAGGGCGATGCGGACGCCGTTGATGCTCGCGTCTTCGGAGGAAAAGCCCGTGAGAATGTCGGCCGGCGGCATGCCGTTGAAGCAGACGTAGCCTGCGATCGACGCGATCAAGTACAAGGCCGCGCCCGAGCCCATGATGAGTGTCGACACGATCGTGATTTGGCTACGGTGCACGAGCTCACCGTACGCGCGGGGCACGTTGAGGTGGCAGCAGAAGCTCAGCGCTTGGATCGGGACGGCGTACGCGATCGCGCCGTACGTCACTCGCGACGTCGACGGCGTCCGG